GAGCATGATTGGGATAATGCAAGAAAACTAGCTGAGTTTCTAGGGCATTTTGCTGAAGTAACGAAACATGTTTCAGCATCATTAAGTGTGACTGCTCACACTTACTTTCATGAGATTGGAGAGGTCAATGAATTGATGAATGAATGGATGAGTAGTTCTGATACTATCCAGCAAGAAATGGGGAGAAGAATGAAAGACAAGTATGACAAGTATTGGGGGAAGTGGCATGAACATTTAGAAATGCAAAATGACAAGGCAAAGGGAAAGGAGAAGGAGAAGGAAAATATTAACTTGCTGATTTTTGTTGCTGCTGTACTTGATCCTAGATACAAGCTTTCACAATATATAGAATGGTAATCGAAGAGATGTATGGTGACAGTGTTGGACAGAAAGTTTGGGCTGCAATTACCAAATGCTTGCAAGACCTTTTTGAAGAATACAGGAACAATAGTTCTCCAAGTGATGTGCAGCCCCAACCAAGTGAATCACCACCATCTAAGCAAGGTGGAGAGGGTGCTAGAAAGTTGAAGACTAAGCTGACAAAGAAGATTAAGCTGAACAATGGAACAACCAGTTGCAGCAGGGGCAGCAGGACTGAACTGGATAAGTACTTGGCTGAAGAGTGTGAAGAAGATACCAAAAAGTTTGATATTCTTGCTTGGTGGAAGGGGCAGTCCACTAGATTTCCCATATTGTCTACATTGGCCCGTGATGTGCTCGCCATTCCAATATCCACAGTTGCTAGTGAATCGGCCTTTAGCACAGGTGGGCGTATTCTAGATGATTTTAGGAGTTCACTCACTCCATTTATGGTTGAAGCTCTTGTTTGCACTCAAGATTGGCTTAGAAGAGCAACTCCCATCAACTTAGTAGAGAATACAGAAGAATTGACCAAACTAGAAAAAAGTGACCATTTATTGTACCATTTCTTTACTATTTTCAACAATGAAAAAAATATTTAATGTTTTCTTTGTTTGCTGTTTTCTATTTTCAGAATTTATTCAAGAATTCAAGGACAAAGCCATTGTTGATGCCCATGCTGCCAAGTCACAAATCCAAGGCAGCAAAAAGAAGATGGTTACATCCACCAACATCAGCTCATCACAGCCAAGCAAGGCCTCCAATCCAAGCAAATCCTCAAAGGAAAGCAAGAACAAGAAATAGTCTAAAGATAAATGACCATGTGAGCTATATATATATATATATATATTTCTTGTAGTCATATACTCATCATAAATATATATTTTTCTTACTTGTTTCAGTTTGCAAATATTGTTTTGGGCTAGCTAAGGAAGTAAGGAGTGGGCGAGTGGCTGTGGACTTGTGGAGTGTGGACCGGTTCCTGTGAAGGTGCAGCCATACAGGGCTGTAGGCTGGTGGACTTCTTGTTTCACTTGTGCTGTTGGACCTCTTGTTTTTTCATTGCTCTATATGCTTGAATATGTGTGTGTGTGGTGTTGGACGCCTGGAGCATTGCTATGCTGTTGGACCTCTTGTTTTTTTACTGCAGGCTTGAATATTGCTCTATGCTTGAATATTTGAGAGAACAATAACATATATGTGTTGTACTGTTGTTTTATGCTGCATTGCTATTTAAATTGTCCCTTTTGACTGCATGAAAATCAGGCAAAATGCTGCCGAAATTTGCAATTGAATGGGTTGTTTCTTGGTCCTGAAAAATTCGGTTCCATCGGTTAGAACCGAAACCGGGCCGAATTACCCGAAACCGAAATTCCTCGGTTCCGCATTTTCAAAGTAACCGATCGGTCCCTTCTTCTCAGGTGACCGAATTAGCTGAAGAACCAAAGAACCGAATAGATTGGTTTCGGTTAACCGAACGCCCAGACTAAGAACCAAGGGTTTGACTATTCTCTCATAATATTCTCCTTGTTGATCTGAAACTTGCGCACCTTAATATTAAGTTATGCTAATTTCTCATGCCAGCCTTTATGAAGTGCTTCAGATTAGTTCACTAAATGGAGAGATTTATCCATGATGAGAGTCAACATTAATTAAGGTAAGTAAATGAACTACAAGTCTACTAATGCCGCAAGGAAATGAACTACAAGAATCAAGGTTTCGAATTTCTAAATTCCCATATTATCTCAACTATTTGACATAACTTCTCTTGGTACAAGGTAGGAGCTGAGTAACATAAGTTTTAAATTAAGCCTGATACATGAAGTATCTCAGCTCTAATGAGAAGCTCTATTTCTCCCCTTCGAAATGTGGCTTAATCAATAAATGTTATAATTTCGATCAGGGTCTCATTGGTCATACTTCTCTTTATCATTAGCATAACACATAATCATCATAGAATAATCATTTAGAGGCAATATGTAAACAACACTCACTTCAAGAAATAAAATAATGTCATTGTTACATTTAATTCAATAAATTAACCCCTAGTGTACAAACATGATCAACTAATACAATGAAGAAGCTCAACTAATGTTCATTATGTTGGGACATAGATTACATCGTTTGAGAAGACATAAACTAATGGCAGTATATGGCCTCATCTTCGATATCCTCATACACTTTAGTTTGTCGGATTTGGAGCAGAGCAGATAATACACAGGTGTGGATGTGAATGTGGATTTTCCGGATGTTAGAACTAGTATGGATACGGAGCAGAATCAGATCAGATACAAATTTAAATAGTCAAGTAATATGTGCATACATAGAGAATTATATGCTTGTCAATAATTAATTTTGTAAAGAGAGAATAACAAGTAGTAGTCAAGAATCCTCCATTGTATTCCATGTTGTGGCTATGACACCAACACAATTAACACTTAACAAGTTACCCTCACTCACAAATGATAAGTTTTATCCAATATATAATAACAACGAGCAAGATCTCAATTCAAAATTTATAACGTCAAACAACATCACAAAATAAGAGTTCTCAACTAATAAACATTTTTTAAATCCAAAATTCCTCTAGGTTTTAGTGTAGGAACATAAATTATTGGATATCATATTATAAACATCGGATAATCTGCATAGAATTTGCGGGTAATCCATATTCTTCGAATTTTGTTGATTCCATATCCTACCCCACATTCACAAATCAGATTCAGATTATCCATATCCTAGATATTAAAAGTTCTTCTTCATCTTACTATTACTAATTAGATACCCATCAGAGGCATCATGTTAATTCTCACTAGATGCGCTAAGAAAAAAAATAAATTCTAGAAATTCTCACAATAATTAGACATATCTGACCTTTAGTTTGGGAGACTATAATCATTGTCATGGATAATAGTCAGCCAATCTATCATAATTTATAAAAACATTACCCACCTATGCCGTTATGAAAAATACATAAAGTAACCCTCTAATTTTCTATCTAAATTACCCACCTCTGCCATTACGAAAGATAATTGAAAATACCCCCCTAAATTTGTATGTAAGTTACTCACAATTGCCATTGTGAATTAATTCAAAATAATCCCCTAAAGTTATATCTAAATTACCAAGCTTTGATATTATGAAACATAATTAAAAAAACCCTAACATTGCATCTAAATTACCCACTTTTGACCTTATGAAAGATAATTTAAAATACTCATAATCATTTTATAAATAAACCACTTTTGTTATTGTGAAAGATAATACAAAGTAACCTCCTAAGTTTGTATTAAACCTACCAATATATGTCATTGTGAAAGAATATAAAATATTATTACAGAAAATATATTTGTATCACCTCAGCCAATATAAAAAATAAAAAAACATGTCTCTCACATTTACATATAGATACTATGTTATTACAGAAAATGAATCAATATCCATAGAGTGTGGAAAATAATTTTTGTATATATATATAACTACTCTATAGCTACAATAAATCAATATCTATAGAGTGGAAAATAATTTGTATAATCAATATCCATATTCGGTGGCCACACTGAGTTACGGTAACTACTATTCTAATTCACGAGATTATAGTAACTCTCTCTAAAGTGATTTACTATAATATTATGGTAAATATCATCATGAATTATACTAACACATATATCGTAAATATGTATTCACTTTGTCGTAAATTAGTATAAACATTAACGTAAATCAAGGTGGCTATAGAAATATATATAACCATTCTAGATAGATGATAACAAATTCAAAAGTTGTCAAGCATAAAGTTGTATAACATTTCGAGATTTACAATTTTTGTCTTGGTAGTTCTCCATCTGAAGTCGTTTAAAAATTTTAAATTTTAATATATAATTTTACTGTTCAGCGCCTATTTTTAAAGGTAGTCGTCTCTACGAATCTATTTGTAGGGGTGGTTGGATCTAGAGCCACCCCTAAAAATAGAGTCATTCATAGGAGTGGCTAGAAATACCAGTCGCCCCTACAAATCGATTTGTAGATGTGACTCGTTTTAGGTACTATATTTTTAGAGTCAGTTTTAGATTGAGCCGCTCCACAAAAGAAAAAAGAGGTGTCTAGTAGTGATATATAGGCAGCATTGGTGTTATCGCATTAAACCAGAATGGCTCGATGAAAGAGGACCGAGAGCTCGAGTAGAAATTCACGCAAACAAGTGGCCACGGTGACAGTGTTGGCCGCGACACGATACTCTGCTTGAGCGCTGGTGCGAGATACATGATCAGGAAGGACCACTGAGACGAGATTGTCACTAAAAAATGACATAGTCAGATGTTGACTTGCGCTATCTGGACAACTTGCCCAATTAGCATCAAGCCACAGGAGGAGACACAATGACAAGTGTAGAGTGCTGCAAGCATCTGATGCATATGTAGGTTCCTTGTTAGGCTGTCAGTTACAACTTTTTGAAAGTAAAACTAAAGAAATTAGTATTAGTATTTTCCTTTATCTTTACAAGTTCACATGATTGAGTAATAGTAATGCAAAGAAATATAACTAGGGATGTATTTTCAGTGGGATTCTGTTACGGATCATAAACAACTGCTAAACCATTGCATAAATACATATCGAATTTCATCATTTGGATCATTCGCTCTTCATTTGCTCTCTGAACGAGAATTGCAGCCGCCAGTCGACGCGTCACTGCCAGTGGACGTCTCCCCGAAAGACAGATCGCCGTAGCCATCTCCTCCCATGGTTACAGTATGAAACGTGTCGCCGCTGTACATCTGCGGCCGCAGCACCGGCAACTTCACATCCGCCGTGGACTGCAGGACGTGCATGGCACGCGCGATGGACGGCCGTTCGCTGCAGTCCGGGTGAGCGCACCAGAGCCCCACGACCAGTGCGCGCTCCATCTGCCTCCTCTCCTCCACCTCGCCATCATCGCCCTGGAGGCTCAACAACCTCTCGTCCACCGCCTCGGCGATGGCATTCCTGCTGTACAGGCGCGACACCCACCTCACCAGCACGAACAGGTCGTCGCTGTCGTCGGGCTCCTCCACCGGGCGCCGGCCGGTGACGAGCTCCAAGAGGACGACGCCGAAGCTGTAGACGTCCGACACGGCGCTGGGGCGGCGCGTGTTGACGAGCTCCGGATCGATGTATCCCGCGGTGCCCAGCACCACCTTCGTCGTGGCAGGCCTCACGCCGTGGTCGATCAGCCTCGCCAGGCCGAAGTCGCCCATCTTGGCGTCCAGCGAGGAATCCAGCATAATGTTGCTTGGCTTGATGTCACCGTGCACTACACACTGCTCCCACTCCGCGTGGAGGTACCGCAGCGCAGAGCCGAGGCCGATGATGATCTTGTACCTGTTGATAGAAGATGATAAGGTTTGTATGTATGTATAAAAAGGGAAATTATTACCAGAACAGTATTTTGAAACATAAGATTGCCAAATAATTAATACCATCTATAAAATTGTGACATTGCTAAAATGTTCAAGTTCATAGGAGGTTATAGCATCTTAATTTTCACTACAGCATCATTACCCGTGGGTGTGCTTGGATTATATGACCAAAAGTTACCATATTTCTTTGCCAAACTTCATAAAATGCGTGGCTAACAATTTATTCACTCACACCATAAGTATTGTTTTGGCAAAGAAATGGATCAATTGACAAGTGGGGCCGAAGGATGGCATTATGGCAGAGAATTCAACAATAGCTTAAGAAATTATGGCGCACCTAAACTATAGCGTGGCTGCGCTTGCCCATAAACCAAACAAGCGGGTACCATTACACCTAGATAGTGCCTATAACTTATGGGTAAAATTAACTGTAATTTTATTACAAATAACTAAGGTTTAAGAAAGTTCAACTGATGCGTTAGAGCATCTCCAAGAGTACCTAATATTTTTTTCCTAAAAATATGAAGTTTTACAACTTCTAAAAAAAGTATTGGAAGGAATAAAAAAACCATCTTCAAGAGTTTCTAATAATCCACTCCTAAAATATAGAAGACAATTTTACACCAAGAATCTTATACTATTTCTAAATTATCCTAACAACTTTTATATATTCTTTCTCTCTTGTACATTTGCATCAGGAACCTTTTCCTACTATTTATTCTTTCCACGCCCTTCCACCTTTAGATCGGCCAACAAACACGCGCGGAAAAGAGAAGATACGCGTGACTCAGAAGCGCGTAACTTTACGCGGAATAGGGTGATTTTTTCCGATTAGGATGATGGATTAGGAGTTGTTGGAGACGGGATTTTTCTTATCTTGCTAAAAACCAAGGATTAGAATGGGATTTAGGGAACTCTTGGAGATACTCTAATACCCACACCATCCTAAATCATGAATCTTAGTTAGGTTTCATGTCTATTGGGAAACCAGGCAAAATAATCTTATGTACTCTACCCGTTTTTCAAAATAAATAATATTTTTTAGAAATTTTCAGACAAATTAAGGACTCATCTTCTTTTAATTTCTTTTCTGGAGAATATCTCTTGGATTTGGTAGTTATTGTTTATATGCACTCATGATTAGCTTCCGCATTATGAGGCAGTGTCCTATGTTTTTTATAGAATGTTATTTTTTTTGACAAATTATAAACTTTAGAAATTTATTTATTGGAGACGAAGGGAGTATGTCTTAGTAATTGGCAAAAAAAACTTTGTATGAGCTATTTATCTAGATATAATATTTATCTAAATATATAGTAAAAAGCTATATATATATATTAAAAAATCAGAATGTTTTATAATTTGGAACATATGGAGTAATTGAGATGATAGGAAGGGCATGCATGTGATACTTCAACAGTATGAGCTATTGAATGTTGAGGAATTTCCAGCACAATCATTATTCGTATAGGAGAACAATTAAGGCTTTGTTCTTCGACAGTTCCATGTAAACATGTAATGCAGCAAAAAAAAAAATCGATCATACCTTTGAGGCCAGGTAAGCAACCTCGTGTTTTTATACAAGTGCCTGTCAAGGCTGCCCTCCGACACGAGTTCGTAGACGATGAGGAGACCTTTGCAGCTGTCACACCAACCGATCAACTGCACGAGATTGCGGTGCCTTAGCCGGCTGATGATCTTCACCTCGGCCTCGAACTCCTTCCTCCCCTGCACGGACGACTCCGAGAACTTCTTTATGGCCACACGGCGGTCCTGGCCATCGATCTTGAGGCATCCCTGGTAGACGTGGCCGAAGCCGCCTCTCCCCAGCTTCATCTCTTCCGAGAAATTATTCGTCGCGGCCGCAAGTTGGCTGTAATAATACCTCTTTGGGCCGACGCCTTTCTCAAACTCAGCCTCGCCGCCGTCGTGTTCATCGTCGAGTTCGCCGCCGCCGCCGGATCCGGATGCTTCCTTGGATTTCTTCCAAATCCTCAGTTTCCGCCACAGAACAAACCCAATTAAAGCGCATATAACCACAAACACAGCTGCTGCAGCAGCAGATACTGCTATCGTGCTGCTATGCGCCTTGGAATGCCTGTTGGAGGTGATGGCTTGAGAGGGCACAGGTGCAGGTGCTTCCCCAGGTGACATGGCGAGAGAAGAGTTGAAGGACCACGACAGGAGCTGGTGCGCCTCGACGTTTCTGCCGGTGGCAGCGGAGAAGCCGACGGCCACCATCTGGGGCAAGCTTCTCCTCATGTCGACGTTGGCGCTGACACGGTACGGTGCCCCGTTCATCCGGAGGGTGACGGACAGAGTCTCCGTGCTGTTGTCGTAGGCGACGTCGGCGGCCAAGGTCTCACCAGACTTGATGCTCTTGTTGGGCGAGATGAAATCAGCAGAGAAGATGGAGTTGACGTCGATCCCGACGTGGTTTCCGTCCACCTCCCCCCACTCGGCGTTCTGGAACGTGTCGAACTCGACCGCCACGACGCGGTCGTCGCCCCTGGCATCCCTGTTGGTGCTGTCGTTGAAGAGGCCCAGGTTCCCACCGAAGCTGCCGGGGGGCGGCACCCCGGACGGGTGGTGCGCGAGGAAGAACGCCATCCCGTCGGCGCTCGGCTCCGGCGAGTCCTGTTGAGCCGGCTTGATCCGGAAGGTGAAGGAGGTGGTGAAGCTGGCGAGCTCGCCGGTGGTGCCGTCCCAGAGGGGCATCGGCTGCGTGTACGTCAGCCGGCCGACGCTTTGGTTGTTGCGGTCGCCCATGGCGTTCTTGGTCAGCTCGATCGCGTTCTCGGTGCTGTGGAAGTAGGCGTCGCCGGAGCAGGCCAGCTCTGCATTCTGGGCGGTGCAGGTGGAGTCGGGGTCTGAGAAGTTGAAGTGGAAGGAGAGCGAGGCGGCGAGAGGGACGTGGATGGAGGACAGCAGGTAGAAGAGGCAGCACAGCGTGGACCGAAGGCAGCGAGAGCTCGTCACCGCCATTGTTGGAGCTTGGTCGTAGCAGGGAGAGCTGCTAGGCTTGGTAGGAAAATTGTTGCACAGAGACACTCATGCTGACCAGGTCTGCAGGTGTCTCCATAGGGGCAGGACTAGGACGCAGCACTGCGGCTTACCACGGAGTGTCCAGCGGGAGCCCTGGACACATTAGCCATTCTTCCTTAGGAGTTGTCTATGGAGTACATCTCGTATCGTCCAAAGTAAAGCTCTGTTGTGTTCTGGAAGCAAGCATAGTAGCCGGCCTGGATTGAAGTGATATCCAGCTATTTATCAGGCCATTTGGCTGGTTTGGGATTTCGAGGAGGACTACATAGGTGTGTGCAGGTGAGCACCAGAGCGGCCATACAAACGAGACAAATGAACACGGCCAAACTGAAAATGGACAGGTTGTTGATGGACTCCAAACGGAGGAATGCGATGGGAAGATCGGGTTCAGAATTCTGAAGAGTGCTGAGAGCCATCTAGCCATTCGGGAGAGAATCCTTCTGCTTTCACCTGATGGGCTGCGGAGGAAGAGTCCAGGTGTCCGGCCCAAAACTGGTAAGCCTAGCGTGGGCGTGGCTATAGTAATGGCCTAGGCTAACCCGTTTGTAACCAAACTCGGTTGGTAAGGCCTCACCAGTCATCACTCATTAGTAGGACGAACGGACAGGATACCGTCCTATATTGTTACTCGCTCAGGTCGGTAAAAGAAGTCGTTTTTGACACCCACAAGGTCTTAAAACATAACTCTAACTTCTTATTTTTATAGAAATACTAGGTAGCATTCCCGTGTATTGCTACGGGTAAGGTTGGACGAAAAACTCGAAGCTCGTTAGCTCGTTCGGTTCGTGGCTGGCTCGATTCGGCTCGGCTCGGCTCGTTAAGATAACGAGCCGAGCCGAGCCAAGATTTTAGCTCGTTAGCTATAACGAGCCAACTCGAGCCAGCTCGCGAGCTGCTCGCGAGCTAAACGAGCCAAGCTTTCAGGAAAAAAAAAGTATCATTTAAGGTTGTTAGATGCATGAATACTATAATATTTTATTATACTTGTATATATATTAGCGCATATTAATTTTTTATTCGATTTAAGGTTGTTAGATACATTTCTTTTGTATTATTATTATTCTCAAACTTTAGATAAATGTAAATATTATATTTTGTGTATTTTTTATACTTGGCTCGCGAGCTTAACGAGCCAGCTTGAGCTTTTAACGAGCCGAGCCGAGCTGGCTTTCTGGCTCGTTAGGATAACGAGCCGAGCCGAGCTAGCTCGTTATCTTAACGAACCAGAACGAGCCGAGCTGGCTTTCTGGCTCGTTAGGATAACGAGCCGAGCCGAGCTAGCTCGTTATCTTAACGAGCCGAGCCGAGCTAGCTCGTTATCTTAACGAGCCGAGCCGAAACGAGCCGAGCCAGCTCGTTATCCAGCCTTAGCTACGGGATAACTAAACTTTTGTACTAAAAACACACGAATCGCACGATAAGATAACAATACTACAAAATTAAATACCACCATGAAAGTAACATTTAATCAAAAAACAAAGTTCATAAAATTATCATAATCACGGATTGCCTGTTCGCTTGAACTTATCAGCCAGCTTATCAGCTAGAATCTACAGTATTCTTCTCTCACAATAAAAGCGACTTGATCGGCTTTAATACCAGCCCGAACAGGCCAGAGAGGCTGGTCGCGAGACTCACCAATTCTACTGTATAGACCTTTCCGTGTGTTGCAACGTAAACAAATAATACCCTGATAATTCGAGCATAAACGTGTTGTATTGTTAAAAAAAACGATAATGCGAGCGTAATGTTCGGAATATCAATATTAAAAATTGAATTTTGTGCATAGTTAAAATTCTCATTAACGGTTTACAATCATCAAGATATGTATTTATAGTATTGTGCATTTGTGCATACGCACATAAAAGTTTATATAATATCACCATGACAAGATTAATTGATTCTTCAACCAATTTCCCTAGATCTAGGTGACCACAAAAGCACCTTCTGCTATCATAAATTCGTAATTACGTAAGAGATGCGGCCATGGCGGTGGTGCTGAAGACATTTGTTTCATCAAAGCCATGGAATGCTCCGCTGCAATAGTTGCATCTTAGGTTGTATAAAGAGCCGCAGGCACCTCAAATTCATCTGACTGTGTCATGATCTCTACAGTTGAATTAGCAAGCACTGAAATAATGTCATGGGAAGCAGGATCAGTGAATACACGAATACGGTTTGAGGCGCAAGTGATGCAAGATTTAGATGTTTTTATTGAGCAAACTTACAAAGGGGATCATATGTTGGACATCGATATTGTTATCAAGTTTTGTTTCCACAGGACTCAGCAATCGTTCAGCATGTTTACATAGGACATAAAATTCTTCAGAAACATTCAAATTTTAGCGAATGAAATTTTGATCCTGTAGGAATAATATTTACAGATATGTTTTGGTGGTAATCTGTCTACACAACAGTCATTGGTTCTACTCATGGCCATAATATTTCATAGCAACAAATTGTAGGGTGTTGTTCAAGGGGAAATGAGGACCTCACCTTCAGTTCTTTACCGTAATCAAAATGTGAATTGAATTTACCAACACTGGAAGTGACCTATAATCAATTTAAAAAATGTTCAGAACTTAGTAAACTTTGGTTGGGCCAAAATCCAGCATCCTCCACCATCCATCTTTTTCTTTCTCTTATTCACAGCCCAGCTCCCTCCTCCAAAAAAAACTCTTTCCCTCACTCTCGCTTACACATAGGACCTGCCCGTCAGCCACAACTCCGTCCCCTCCCCTTCTTCCTCCTATGGGAGATGCAGGCGTCGCCGCCCTCATGCATGGGCGGGCCCCCACACAGCGACCCCGGTGCCCCAGTCCTGCCCCTCCCACCTGCTCCCCGCCCCACCTTTGGCGCCGGGCACGCACTTGCGTCGTCCCAGGACCCACAACCGCCTCGCCATCTCCCTGTGTGCACATGCTGAGCTGCCACTACCCTGCTCGTCGGGCAAGCGCCCGCGCAGCCCCTAGGCCCCAGTTATACTTCACAATAACTCAAAAAAAAGCTCTATAGCCGCTGCAACTCCATGTATTTAGCCAAACAAAATTGTTAAGCCCCAATATGTCTGCGATATCATTTTTTTACCATCAACACCTATACACGAAAATTAATAAATTTTATGAAGGTTTATTTATGGAATATAATGTCCCAAAAATATTTTTTCATGGCAGTTTTTTGAACCACCTTCACGAAATATTTATTTCGTTGGTGCAAAGGAAAGGTAGCTCAAGTAGTATTCTTGAGTAGATTTCTTGTACCCAGGGGTTTCAAATGAATCATCAATCATTTTGGGGAAAATTGGATGCATACCATTAAAAGATCCTGACTTTGGAGAAATACCATCAAAAGATTCAGCTTTAGAGAAATAGCATTGAAAGGTTGTTCCGTTGTTGATTTCAACCATTTTCTGTTAACTTGTCTTTGATTTGCTCAACTTGCTCGTAAGAAAAAAGAACGCAGGACTCGCAGGAAGGCTGCCATGACCAAATCCACGGCCATCAGCAGTTGGCAACGCCACTGCTCGCGTTCAGTCCGGCCTGCGATGCAGTTCACGGCCACGGCCCACAGCCTATGGAGCTGCTCCCTCTCCCCTCTCCTTCACCACACTAAGCTTGTCGTGCCATCTCGAGCTGCTGCTTGCCGTCCATCATCTCCAATTTCTTCCTCCTCTATTGTCGAGCACAGAAGGAGTTCGCACCCGTCGATCCGCGACGCCTGACCACCGCGACGGTCCAATTCCGTTGACAGTGAGCATCCATAGACTCTACTCCACCATTTCCAAGCCGTGCCCTTCCTCTCCTTGGCTGTACCGAACTGCTCTCGATCTTCAGAGCCGCAACCATGGCCGCCAATAGCGCTCGATAATCGATACTCCCCTGCTCCCCCCAAACACACACACGATGTGAACCCCCAAAATTGAAACCCCTCATCCTTCTATCTCTCCCTGTACCCTCGGATTTAGGAATGGTAGCCTAGAACTGGATTTCAGAATCAGGAATGGTAGGCGAAGCTCCACTAAGCGTCATGGTGAGCACGGTGGCGCTCATATCGATGGTCGTCGTCGTTGACTCAGCCTAGGCCAGACTGAACGGCAAGTTAACAGAATGGTAGAAATCAACAACGGAGCAACATTTCACTGCTATTTCTCTAAAGTTGAATCTTTTGATGGTATTTTTTCAAAGTCGGGATCTTTTAATGGTATGGATCCAATTTTTCCATCATTTTGGGATTTACATCTACAAATGGGATGTCAACTGAAAAAGGTATAAAGGATACCGAGCATTTTCAGAATCAAAGCTGGATCAAAATTAAGACAAATGCAGACAAGATAGCCTAACAGACAGATTGTACATAATCTATTCCCATTTATGTAACCATTTTTTCTTCAAATTTGTGCGCTAAGTAGTAAGGGTGCAAACTACAGAGGGAGATGCAAACCTGAAACCTGCATCTTTCTTTTGGCCGTAGGAAATGAGACCAGCATGGAACCTTTCTAGAAACTTGCCACTGCTTGTCCCAGGATTGTTTGGTGTAAGAAGTTGAGTTGATGGTTGAAAGCGTCAATAGATTTTGAAAATATACGTCAACAATTTTTGCTATTTGTGGGCAATCAGCAAAATAGATCCCAAGCTCCTTGATCTGCAATGCACGTAAAAGTAGTGCCACACAGCTTAACCAACTTGCTTTCTCAGCACTATACTTCAAATGAAACCAAACTTTTTTTTTTCAGGAATACCTGAGTAAGGGATTTCGAATCATTGTTTGCTGACCCTATGTACACATCCTTTTTATCTGATATCTAGACCTTTGAATGCACAACACCAGTAGGAGTAGAGATGTACCGCAAGGAATCAGTAGGAGTTGGGGCCAACAACGAGCCATCCCATCTGCCCTGCAAAAGAAGCAAAAGTTTGTGAATTTGGGGGCAGAGAAATCAG